ATGGGAGGCTCAGAGGACTGAACTGATGTCAGAGCACTAATCAGAATATTCTTTGTGACAGCCTGGGACACATTTTAATTTTTAAAAAAATCAATCAGTAAGCAAATGTAAAAAAAAATAATAAAAAGTGAAGTCTTTTTCAACTGGAGTCATATTTCTCATTAGAGACCTAGAGTATATTTCCTTCTTCAAGAACAATTTTCAGAGTTGGTCTTCCTTTACCTCCCTGTGCTTGACAGAAGTGTCACAACCCACACCAAGAACCTAATTTATATTACTAAAAGCAACGTAGATTTTTATAACACCCTGGCACAATTTTTTTGTGTGTATGAATTTGGGATTTCTAGTTGCTTTCCCAAAACCTTGGGAAGAACAGACGAGTCAGATTCTACCCTGATAGCTTCTCATTTTCAATCATAAAATAAGGTAGTTTGTATGTATGCACTTCTTGTAATTGCATCTGTGAAGTCCCAGGTCTTCCAGGATTCTAAGGCCTCTCTATTTTTGGTATCCAAATAAATTCACTTGAACTCCATTCAGGTATACTGACATGTACAGTTTCTACACAGAGAAAGTTGAGACTTGCCCCCAAAGCTTACATTCTCTTGGTCATTTATGCTCTACTTTTCATAATCACTCAGATTCTACCATTCTGATCCTTTCTTCATTTCCTTGTCACACTTGACATGACATTACTTTATCAGAAGGAATATTATGGCAAATTGTTTGAGGAAAGTTTGAAGTAACGTGATGAGAAAAAAGTGAGGAACAACTTCTTGAATTTAGAGAATTTCGTAATGGAATTAACTGAATCCTCAACAACTCTAAAATATACAGTGAAATAAATTATTTTTTCATCACTCTCAGTAAATTTATATGTTCCCATCATAGTTGATAGAACTATTAATTGAGCCTTTTAAGTCTGGCCAGGCTTAAATGGCAACTATAAATTTTTCCAGGTTTTATACATTTACTTTCAACTTATATAGTTAAGAAAAATAAGGCTGGATATAGGAGTTCTTAGTAGACTTTAGAAATGCAAGACTTGATTCAACTCTAAACTAGAATTGAGATAAGAGAGAAGAGAGGAACTGTTCCAGGACGAGGAAACTGGGACAGGTAATTATCACCTCTGAGGGAAAAAAAGTGGAGGATAATGGAGAATTGGAGTTACCAGTAAAATATGGATATGATAACAACCTGTCCCTGACTAAATTATTATCCTTTAAAGTAAGAGATTTTAGATCACAAGCAAAGTCTTCTAATGATGAGCCGTGGATACGCTGATGCACTGCTTTGATCCACTTCAGCCATGGAAGTCATTCCTCAATTTCGCCAACAGACATCTATGTGAAGAGTCACTTTCCTGAACTTCATGTCGTGCTCTGAGATTGCCCACCTTCAATGACAGGTTAATGTGAGACTCTGAAGACCATGACCTTTGTCACATCTTAGGGTATAAGATTATGCCAGCTTTAGACCTCCCTCTGAAGTTTGCTGAGGCCTTCACTGAGACTGTCACATTCCAACTTATTCTTCTGCCCAATTCTGCTTCCTTTTCTTCCTTTTTCTTCCACTGAAGTTGATACCAAGAGCCCTCCATAATGAAAATCCCGTGTACTGTGTCCATCTCATGGTCTGCTTCCTCAGAAACCTAATCTGCATCACTACAAATAATATCTATTAACATCTCGTGATGTCTACTAGTCCACAGTTTACATCTCATTTCTTTCTAATGCATTGGACCAGAGAAATCTAAAACTCAATGAACTGTAAATTTTTGTCATTAATGTTGTTGGGCTAGTAGTGTTCCAGTGTGCAATGCACGTTTCTTGTCTTCTCCAGAGCAACTAATGCGGAGAACTAATAGTATTGCAATCAGCTGCTAACCATTTCCTCTGTTCTCATTTTCTAGGGGAGGGAGGAAAGGAGAGGCAAAACTCAGGAGAAAGATTCTGCTGAGAAAGTTGTCACAATCAAAATGGAATCATTTGTGTTAAAAACCTTTATGAATAGAGTCATAGACTGTCATGAAGGGCCGGCTCTTATGGGCAAATGCCTAATAACAAGAACTGTCACAAAAGACTCTACAAAAACTACAGCCTTGCACAAAGGCCATTGCAACCTTGCACAAAAAAATACTTCTGCAAAGATATCTGCTTAGCAACTGCCTGTCCATCCTTGGACTGGCACCATCCTTGTTCTTGATCCTTGTAGCCAAGTGTGTATTGTGAGAGGGAAAGGATGGCAGAGGCTAAAGAAATGAAAATTGCAAAAGGATTGAGGAAATGCAGTCAGAAATTGGTATGAGGAAAATCTCTTTAAAAGTTTAAGATTCAGCCGGGCTCGGTGGCTCAGCCTGTAATCCCGCACCTTTGGGAGGCTGAGGTGAGTGGATTGCCTGAGCCCGCGGGTTCGAGACCCGCCTGGGCAGCGAGACCTCATCTCTACAATCAATCCAAAAAATCAGCCGGGCGTGGTAGTGCATGCCTGTAATTCCTGCTACTTGGAAGGCTGAGGCGGAAGGATCGCTGGAGCCCAGCGGGTCCAGGCTGCGGTGGCCGGGAGTGGCCACTGCACTCCAGTCTGGGCGACAGAGTGAGACTCCAACTCAAAAAAAAAAGGTTTAAGATTCTGAATTGGGTTACTGAAAAGGTAGTTAATAGTTCTACTGTTTTAATCCTTATGAAAGTAACTGAGTCTTTATCCTGTGCCACAGTCTCCCTTACTGCTTCAGAAAGATCTACCCTGCTAGAACCTCCCGATTACCCCTTTGCTTCTTGAATGAATCCCTGATAGAATTTTGTGGCTGTAATGTGTGTTTTGAAATGCTGATATGATAGAATTATTTTTACCAATGGGCTACAGATTAGTTGTTAGGAAGTAAATAGATTATTACAACTGAATTTAAGCAACTAAGAGTGCTAGAGATAAAAGTACCCCAAGTAATTGAAAAGATAAAAGAAATAAAGAAACACAGCTACATCCATACACTGGTGTAAATTCAAAAGGGTTAATGAAGCTCAAAGCTTCTAAATCTTGCAGCAAATGCTGATGACTTGCTTGTAAAAATGCAATTAGAACATTCTTTTCTTTTATCTTTGGACCAATGTTTTAAATCTTCTGTGGCATCTGCCCACAAGACTAAGCTTATTGTATGGTGAAAAAGGAAAGAGATGAACACTTTGCTTGTGCTCCCACGTGTAGTCACCATAGTGTTCATAGAAGATAGTTCTAATAAACTTCATTTACAGATGAATAAACTGAAGTTCAAAGGAGTTTAGGAAATCATTAGGGTAGCAACATCGGTGGATGGCAGAGTGGCATCCAAATTCCAGTCGCTGTGAAACCAGAGCCTGTGCTCTATAGAGTGGTGCCTACCTGGAGGTACTCACTGCAAAAGACTGTGCACATACTCCATGGTTGGCTCTTCCCTTGGTAGTGATCTTGAGAGAAAGGAAAAATTCAGGGAGATGATTCTGCTGTGAAAATTGTCCGAATAAAAATGGAGTCATTTGTGTTGAAGGGAGGATTCTCATGGGCGAATGCTTGATAATAATAACTATCACAAATGATTCTACACATCACAACTTTGCACAAAGGTCATGGCAGTATTACCCACACAAAAATACTTCTGCAAGGACATCTGTCCAGCAACTGAATGTCCAACCTTGGACTGGCACTATTCTTGTAGCTAAGGTTAATGATCTCAAAACAGTTTTCTGTTTTACAGAAAACCACGTATTTTCTGTAAAAACCTCTGTTTTCCTGTACCCTGAAATACATATATAGTTTACTATAACTCTATTCCCAGATAAATATCATTTTTTATAGAAAATCTTCTTGTCTGTTATTTAGGTCAACACTACAAAGTTTTGTCTTTATTATTATTGGAGATCTTTTTTGTTTGTTTATTTTTGTTTGCTTGTTTTTTAATGGACACCAAGTCACATGATAGATAAGTGCGGTGACACTTCTGGGTGAGAGATTCTAATAAAACAGTGGTTTATTCCATCTTTCTGATACAGGCATTGAATGAACCAAACAGCGGTCATTATACTTATGCAGGCAGGCATACTTCACTTGGAGCCCAAAAACCCTAGAACAATTCCAGCCCTCCCTCTTTGAAGTAGTCGAGCCTTGGGCAAGTGGCTGGGCAGTTCTGAGTTGTGGTTGAAAGTATAGAGTATGCAGCCAGATTGACTGAGTTAAAATTCAGTCTCTGCCACTCACTGGTTATGTGATCCTGGGCAAATGATTTAACTTCTCTGTGCCTCAGTTCTTATTTATTAAATGGCAATAGCATTGTGGTCTCATCACAAAGAATGATAGTAAAAAGTAAATGAGTTGATCCATGTAAAGCTCTTACAATGATGTGTGGCACATGATTATGTAATCAATAGCAGCTTTAAGAGTTGACTTTTTATTACTTGAGCTATTGGTAACAATAAATGAACTGTTTCTATACTGTAAAAGACAGACAATACACACGTTATGATATCAATTAAAATAAACACATTTCAATTATACAAATATAAAGTTAACTTTGCAATTATGTTACATGTAACCCTTAGGCCAAAGCCTGAAATTTTTCCTCTAGTCATTGTCCATGAAATTTTCAATTTGCAGCTGAAACTCAGGGTTAGGGATCTCTTGCAAACATGGGAGTCAGGGAAACACATTATGTTTCTCTCTCCCTTTGGAGTGTCATTGAGTGTGAATTTCTAGATAGTAATGAAGGATACAAGGTTCTCCAAATTGAACATATTTCTTAGAGGGGTTGGAAATGAAGGAAGGGCTCTCTTTTGTGACATGTTCTCTCTAAATTGGAAGTGCTCGTTGGTGGAATTGGAAGTGAGAGAAGCACTCTCTTTTTAAACTGAGTTTATTGATCCTTAGCAAATGACAAATATAGACATTGAGAATGAATCAAACTCAAAAAAAGGAATGAAATAAATGTATGCAAATATTTATACACATATTTATTTGTTCCTGCAGGAAACAAGCTAAACAAATCCAAGAGCAGTTAAAAGTGCCACAAAATGGTAAAAACTACAGTCTCAAAGCATCCAGCACAATGGCAAAGTCAGAGAACATGATGAAGAGTCATGTCCAGCTGCAAAATGTAAGTTGCATGTCTATATACCTCCTCCTGTAGCCTACCACAGTACATCAAGGTCAGAGGTGGTGGAAGTCTGTGATCAGGCTTAATATTTTTTTCTCAGAACATTATAGATTTCTGCTTAAATCATCTTTCAGTTCTGGGAGTAGATATGTATGCATGTGTGCATGGATGCATTGGATGAAAGAGAATAGTTAAATCTCAGCTCTTGACTGCGATCTGTAATATAAATTAATCTCTGGTCAATAAGAGCCTCACTTGTTCGTTCTATGAACTTATTGAATCTTTAGTTTGTGCCAGAAATAGTATTTGATACCAATGATACAATGCTTCTTGCCATATGTGAAGTTATGTGCAAGAAGGGATACAAACACCACCAGAACCAGAAGTGAATGTGCTAAGATGGTTCATGTTTCAGCAGAGGCTGAACAAAAGTAGTCCAATGGAAGGTGGATGGGGCCAGGTCTGGGGGCTGCCTCACAACAGTCAGGGTCAAACTGAGTTTGCAAGAGACTAGAACATGTAAAAAGAATAAAATCATGGAATCCAATGACAAAGGTAAGGAGTTAGAGGTGAAAGATGGAATGGGATTCCAGTTGAATACCAAACCTTGCAGCAACACCAGAATTTTAAGGTAAATGT